CTTCTCGCAATACTTGTAAGCTGGCTCAGCCAATTATAAATAGTTAAAATATATTTGTTATCAATATATTTTTTTTTTATTCAAAAAATTTAACTAGATGCTGATCCAATTTAATGAGCTCAGACACCGTGTCCAGACTCTATCTAATATGAATACTGTGCCACATACTGCGCCCTGGTGACATGGTGTTCCACCTCGGCAATTAGTTTTTTTTTTAATATTTTTAATATCTATATATATAATACAAAAAATGGTATATAAAATATATAAGCACCAAACAAGACTAAGTGAATATTATTCCCAGCATAAAAAGTTAAAAAAGATAGTAAAATCATCCTGCCTTCTCGCAATACTTACTTGAAGCCAGATATAGTTAGTTATCAGATTTTTTAATATATTAGTTAACTATATATCTTTTTTTGTACTTGCAAAAAAAAAGTGGGACTGGATAGAAAATTATATAGAAGAGCAAACGGTCTTGAGTTGGGCAAAAAACTATTAGATTCAGATTCAGATTTAGATTCGGACCTGCTTTTCTGTAATTTTCAATTAAGAGCTAAGAAAAAAAGATCAAGAAGCAAGCTTAAAATAATAAATACTATCTGCCTTCTTGTAAAGCCTTACTTTAGAGTAAGGTCTTTTCGAATTCCTGACTTCCTTGACATTATAGTCAAGGCCGGCTTGGCTATATAATTGCTGAAGCTAGTTAGCAACTTCTCACTAAGATCATTAATTTCAGCCTTAGATCTAAGTACAGAATATAGTTTTTCTTTAAGCTTCTATTTTTTTATTTCATTCGAAAAAAAAGATAGATAATTTGGAAATAAAATATATCTAGTCATTTTTACTTTTTTTCAAGCTTGTGAGAAAAAATGAGATTTGCAGAGCAAAATACATTAATAAAAGATAACTATTTTTTCGAAAATATATCGATAATACCGAAAATATATCAATAATACTGAAAATATATCGATAATATATCGATAATATTGAAAATATATTGATAATATATCGATAATACTGAAAATATATCAAAATATACTGATAATTTTTCGAAAAATTTTTTGTTTATTTATAAAAAAATGCTTCAGTATTTATGTTTAGATGCCACTCCCCTATCTACTAAAAATATTCAGGATATTATTAAAGCCAAAAATTCAATGAAGCGGGCACCAGAAGCTATGGCTAATAAATACAAAATTTTAATACAACAAGTATATCAAATTTGGAGAGAGGTTCATCCGCCAATAGATTCACACTTTTTTCTCATAAATTCAGAAAAAAATTTGGATAACAAATCAATTCCCCCTCTCGACTTTGTCAAGAAAGGTGGAATCAAAGATCAAGAGGCTGAACCAATTCTGTTTGAGCTAGGCTCAGAAGGTTTAAATATTAGCCAAGAAGAACTAATTGCATTTTATGAAAAAAAAGCTATTCGAGATAAAAAAAATATAGCCAAATTTAAATGTATACTAGCTAAGTAAATGATCCAGCTTATCGTAGAATAATAAAAACTTCTCACATACCTCAGTAAGAACCTCTTTAGCATTGAGAGTATCAAATAATATTTTTTCAAGTTCGTCATAACTCATAGATTTTTTTTTTCCAAAGTCAGATTGATTTCTGGCCCACCTTCTCTTTTCGAATTTATGAGAAAAGAGTGGGACTTATGAACTGAAAGAGGTATAGTAATTACCTTATCTTTATGCATTAACTTGAATTCACGCTTAACAATGGGCTCCTATCCTGCTCGATCAAGCCAAGGTGTACCAATAATATCTAGGGCTTATCATTATTCATGACCGGAAAGTCTTCAGAGATTGTACAACTCTTTTCTCTCTGACCAACCGTAACTGAAATATTATAAGATATGCCTAAAGACTCTAAGGAATTGTTATGCCATTTAACAGATGGTTTTTTATTTTTATCAACTTCTACTCCAATAGTTTTATAAGGCCTTTTGAAATAACCAAGCAATTTGCTTCACTATCTATCATGGCGAAAGACACTTGTACAATTTTTCCTAATGGCGAGCTAATCTTGCAACATATAGTAGCAATATCATTGGGAATAATTTTATGAATAAAATTAATTTCTATAGGGTTGGACCATAAAATTTCTGCCTCTGATTGCGATCCCTCTGGGGCTGTTTGGGGTGGTATATTTGTTTGCTGGGAATCAATTCGAATTAGATCTGATATTGGTTGCAAGATGTGAGAGAATATTATAATAATCTCATACCAGAACTTTTCTCGTTTCTTGTCTAAGAAATTCGAAGTAAAATGATTTAGAACAGGATCTTTCAGTACAATGAATTTAGTATTAATCATATTATATCCATTAATTAAGACTTCTTTAGGTTGTGTACGAGTAAATAAATCAACCATTGATCGTAAAATAGCAAAAAATGCATTTAGGCTAATATTATCTGTAGGAATTTTAAGTGACCTAGTATCTTTACTACTCTTTTTATCAGAGGCATTACTAAATTTTTTGCTAGAAGTTTTTGGCCTAGCACTTTTGTGCTTCTTTGATCTCTTGGTATCAGAATAAATTAATTTTTTT